AGTCAGCGTCAAGCGTAGATTTTCTGCTGTCTGGTGGCTCAAAAATCCCTTTTGATCAGTGCTTCTAATCTGTAATCTGAATGCTTCCCATCTATTTAACCATTCTAGAGATTCTTCAATAACCTATTTTAAAAAAGTTGTTAATTAAAACATTTATTGTTTTTCCTAGTGAATCATTACTATTACCTTGAGATCATTTGAATCGTGTCTGATTCCTTCCTGTGGCAATCTACGATTTAAAGCATCAAAAAGAGCATTGATGTGACGTATGAAACTTATTGTAACATCTGCATTCTTCAGGATAGTAACCTCACGCTGTTTATAGAACAGCATAGCATCAGCAAAAGTATTACTAAACATCTATAAATAAATGAGATAAAAAAAAGCAAAAAAAAAGTTCAGCTGCCAGCAATACACTCATTCTCTGGAAGTTATTCGGATTAACATGTATTTCTGTCACTTTGGGACATGCCTTTAATCCCTTTGGTAATTCGGAATCTTCATCAACAACTGCTTTCAAATGCTGCAATTCTACCCTTCAGGAAACTAAAAGTAAAAATGCAGAATAATGCAATGGCTTATATTATAAATTAGATGAAAACACTATTTTCTTAGTTTTACCTGAAAGTATCTACTTTTCAAAAGATTATTTCGCATACATTTTAAAATATATGGTACATCAATAATAACCAGTACTTGTCTATCTGCAGCAGGGTTTGTAAATGAGAATTGTATATTATTTGTGTCTGCACAAATTCCTAGAGCTTTTAAAGCTGCATTGTTTGTGCTGGCACCATCACAAACTATTGCACTGATTATTGCACCGCACTGTTCTAAATGAATAATTGCTTGCAAAATAAGTTTTGCAACAGTAGAACCTGGGACAGAGCTTTTTGAACAGAATGTGCCAATACATTGTACCCAACTAGCAAAGTCTTCTGCAAATATTAAATAAATTCTTACGTCTAGGATGAATATTAACTATGACTTACCTGAAAAATCTTTGATTACATTGATTTTTTCGCTGTTTGCTAAACAGCTCAACAAAAGCACATTCGAACTGCAAATTGTCATGTGTGACAATTTCTTTCCTCTGAAGAGCTTTCGTATTTATCCATTGCAGACATATTCTGTAGATTCTTCGTCCTCCGAAGAGTATGATGGAGACATCGGTTATTTTGTTGTAACTTTTATCGTCCAACAACATCGGAACCGGCTTGATTGACTTCCTGACAGATCCCAAGGGACTGGAAGTAGCCGGATATCGTTCCATCGAAGCTTTCAGGGCTTTCTGAAAGGGACTGTTCGTCCTGTAATCGGATGATTTGGATACTCTGAGCGGTGTTATTTGCTTAACGAACGACAACCTCATTTCCGTCCTGTTTTTATCCGTTAACGATCGAATTTCTTATTAATAGAACACTTACATGCAGTGGCGTTACAGGAGTGGAGTTCCGGATATGGAAATTTATCCAACTTTTGGAGAAAGGTTTTTTCCGCTAGCACTTTCAGTAGTGTAAAACTACCATCATCAGGCGGTACACAGAATTTGATAGTTTAGGTTTTCCAAACGATATTCCAACAGTTTTTTAAATTTCAATATCGAATATTTCAAAATGATATTTCCAACGGTTCAGCTGATTACGGTTTTCGAATATTTGATAACCAAAAATTATTCTTTTTTTGGATTAAAAAATAATTTATCACAGTCATATAAGACAGATATGTATCACAGAAATCTTTGAACGTTCAGTTAAATAAATTCATCAGAATGCAAGAAAACATTCTATGGAAGTCTCAAAACTAACTGGACTCATACATTAAATCTGAAGTAACTCATGAAAATCTTTTAAAGTTATTTGACTTTTGCTGTTTGTGCTTAATATGTTATTTGCTAGATTCATTTTGTCTTTTTGAAATGACACAATCTTCTCTTCAATAGTATTTTCACTTATAAATGAAGACTTTCTAAACCAATATCCGGCGTGAAAAGTCAAACAAAGATTGGCAAACGCTTTCGATGCCCCTCCTGGGCTCTTCTTCAGGCCAAATTTACTGTACTGGATTCTTTAATCGAATGTTTTTAAATAAGAATGTGCTCAGTTATTAGAATTTCAATGAGCACGTTTTTATTTAAAAACATTCGATTAAAGAATCCAGTACAGTAAATTTGGCCTGAAGAAGAGCCCAGGAGGGGCATCGAAAGCGTTTGCCAATCTTTGTTTGGACTTTTCACGCCGGATATTAGTTTAAAAGTACGCATATTTGTTTTATATGACCCAGCGTGGGAGAAATCCTTGAAGACTTTCTTCTTTTGGCCAAGACGATAGATGCGATCACAGGCTTGGTTCAAAACCACGGCCCCGAGACTTCGGCGGCTCTCTCCTCAGATTCCTCCCCATTCTGACTTCTGCAAGACAGTGGCGGATGAAGAGGCAAAGTGTGAGAAAACAGGAAGTGATAACTCGAATGAGCTGTCACTCCTTACATTCTCCACAACAAGGTCTGAGGCCGGTTGACCCCCAAAGACCTTGGCCAAGTGCGACAGACCCACAGTGTAGCATTGCATAATCTCGATTCCTGGAAGAGTGCCATGCCACACGCACTCAAGAAAGGTCTTCACCCGCTGTCTCTTGCTTGAGCCTCCGGTGTTCCAATGTCTCTTCCGGCACAGTCAGTCTGACAGACTCATTTCGTGCTGTCGGAGGAACACCCTCCGCAACCATCGCCTTCTTCCATCAGAACCTCCTGCGGAACCACTCCAACATCTTCATTCTGTAAAAAAGAAAATTTGCAATTAGTTGAGTGAAAACAAAAGCTTAAATTACGTTGACAAGAAAAGCAAAATGCTCACCGCAGTTCTGTATTTAAATCTAAAAGATTCGAATCGCCCATCGATGAGCCAAGATGTCTTCTGGCAATGATTCTTCTGCAAATATTAAATAAATTCTTACGTCTAGGATGAATATTAACTATGACTTACCTGAAAAATCTTTGATTACATTGATTTTTTTCACTGTTTGCTAAAGAGCTCAACAAAAGCACATTCGAACTGCAAATCGTCATGTGTGACAATTTCTTTCCTCTGAAGAGCTTTCGTATTTATCCATTACAGACAGATATTCTGTAGATTCTTCGTCCTCCGAAGAGTATGATTAAGACATCGATTATTTTGTCGTAACTTTTATTGTCCAACAACATCGGAACCGGCTTGATTGACTTCCCAACAGATCCCAAGGGACTGGAAGTAGCCGGATATCGTTCCATCGAAGCTTTCAGGGCTTTCTGAAAGGGACTGTTCGTCCCGTAATCAGATGATTTGGATACTCTGAGCGGTGTTATTTGCTTAACGAACGACAACCTCATTTCCGTCCCGTTTTTATCCGTTAACGATCGATTTTCTTATTAATAGAACACTTACATGCAGGGGCGTTACAAGAGTGGAGTTCCAGATGTGGAAATTTATCCATCTTTTGGAGAAAGGTTTTTTCCGCTAGCACTTTCAGTAGTGTAAAACTACCATCATCAGGCGGTACACAGAATTTGATAGTTTAGGTTTTCCAAACGATATTCCGACGGTTTTTTAAATTTCAATATCAAATATTTCAAAATGATATTTCCAACGGTTNACTTACATGCAGTGGCGTTACAGGAGTGGAGTTCCGGATATGGAAATTTATCCAACTTTTGGAGAAAGGTTTTTTCCGCTAGCACTTTCAGTAGTGTAAAACTACCATCATCAGGCGGTACACAGAATTTGATAGTTTAGGTTTTCCAAACGATATTCCGACGGTTTTTTAAATTTCAATATCGAATATTTCAAAATGATATTTCCAACGGTTCAGCTGATTATGGTTTTCGAATATTTGATAACCAAAAATTATTCTTTTTTTGGATTAAAAAATAATTTATCACAGTCATATAAGACAGATATGTATCACAGAAATCTTTGAACGTTCAGTTAAATAAATTCATCAGAATGCAAGAAAACATTCTATGGAAGTCTCAAAACTAACTGGACTCATACATTAAATCTGAAGTAACTCATGAAAATCTTTTAAAGTTATTTGACTTTTGCTGTTTGTGCTTAATATGTTATTTGCTAGATTCATTTTGTCTTTTTGAAATGACACAATCTTCTCTTCAATAGTATTTTCACTTATAAATGAAGACTTTCTTCTTTTGGCCGAGACGATAGATGCGATCACAGGCTTGGTTCAAAACCACGGTCCCGAGACTTCGGCGGCTCTCTCCTCAGATTCCTCCCCATTCTGACTTCTGCAAGACAGTGGCGGATGAAGAGGCAAAGTGCGAGAAAACAGGAAGTGATAACTCGAATGAGCTGTCACTCCTTACATTCTCCACAACAAGGTCTGAGGCCGGTTGACCCCCAAAGACCTTGGCCAAGTGCGACAGACCCACAGTGTAGCATTGCATAATCTCGAATCCGGAAGAGTGCCATGCCACACGCACTCAAGGAAGGTCTTCACCCGCTGTCTCTTGCTTGAGCCTCCGGTGTTCCAATGTCTCTTCCGGCACAGTCAGTCTGACAGACTCGTTTCGTGCTGTCGGAGGAACACCCTCCGCAACCATCGCCTTCTTCCATCAGAACCTCCTGCGGAACCACTCCAACATCTTCATTCTGTAAAAAAGAAAATTTGCAATTAGTTGAGTGAAAAGAAAAGCTTAAATTACGTTGACAAGAAAAGCAAAATGCTCACCGCAGTTCTGTATTTAAATCTAAAAGATTCGAATCGCCCTTCGATGAGCCAAGATGTCTTCTGGCAATGATTCTTCTGCAAATATTAAATAAATTCTTACATCTAGGATGAATATTAACTATGATTTACCTGAAAAATCTTTAGCAAACAGCAAAAAAAATCAACGTAATCAAAGAGCTCAACAAAAGCACAATCGAACTGCAAATCGTCATGTGTGACAAATTTCAAACAAACATTAAAACACACGTCAACAACGTTCGAATTTCGTAAGAAAAAAAATAAATAATCAATTTTATTTTTTTAATGAATTAATTTATAATTTTTTCTTCAAATTTTGCTTCAATCATTTTCTTGTGTTCAGAATTTGATAAATAAATTGTCTTCTGCACTTACACGGTGCAGAATGTCTACAGTGGAGAGGTAAAAGACGATCTTAAATTCGATTCTTCCATGTGACTTCTGGCACAGACTGCAACCGATCCGAGTTGGCATCACGTCGATGTTGGACCTCTCTTAGGGAATCGAGTTTGGAACTGTCGAGAGATTTGTTTCTGTATTCGATGTGGGTGCAGACCAGATCGTCATCATCTTCTTCACTCTCCGGTATGAACAACTCTGTGCTTAAGTCACACCTGGAAGAAATGCTTTTGCTGTTGTTGCTGTCTGGAACATATATGGATTTTTTCAAACTACAAAAATTAGACGGAATGTTTTTAGCTATTGTGAGATCCAAATAGCCTGTGGGTCTAAAATAATAATTTTAAAATAATGTTAAATTTTTGTCATAAAATATTCTTTCATTTTGGTGGGAAAATAACGTCTTTTTAGCGTGGGAAAATGGATAACAGATGCTACTTCCTTCCACGAAAGTTAGAACATCCTCTGTTTTTCCTTATCTGCTAAAAATCTTGCTTCTATGGGAACTGTTTACCCCTCATTTATTCCCCTTTCCATCTGTCCACGTGGAACAATCCTAATACGATGATTGGTTGTAAATAAGGAGATAAAGGTGAAGTTTAGCGGAGTTCGGGGAGTTCGTCAGGAGATCTCATAGTGAAAGGAAGTCTCCATATTGTCTCCCTAAGGTCAACGCCCTTAGTAAAGAGTTCGTCAACAGATCCCAGAGTATTCAGACAACGTACATACAAGCTCCTAAAAGCGAATGCCCTATGCTATGAGCAATACAGAATACAAAGGCTTATTACCATAGAGATAAATATTCTCAAAATCAGAGAACTTTAGAAGTAAAGTAAAGGCGACAAATACAGAAGAAGATAAGGACAACGATCAGGTTGTATGTTTATAAATGATTCTGTGAGCTCTCTCTCTCGATCTTGTATAAGTTAAGAGAATCCATATCTCTCGACGCGTATAGTATTAGATGAATTCATTCTCCCTCATTTATTTGTAATTCCATTTATGTATAGTTCTATTTATATATATGTTTATTAAATTCCTTTTATTATTAGTTACCCTAATGTCTCCTGAATCTCTGAATCAAATCCGTAGATCACTTCACGCTTGTTAATCCGCGTGTAAAACAAGTGATTAACTGGTGTCAGTCCTGATGTGGATCTGTACTTCATAGCTCAGATCTTTTTAAGTAATTACAGCCCTCCTATCAAAGTAAGAGAACCGATCTCGCGATCATGTGCCCGTAAGCGGTGTAGACTAAGATCTACGTTGGCTTCTCACACTATTCATATTATAAAATGTTGGAATCAACAATTGCGATGCTTTATAATGTTCTGACGTAATAAAATGTTGGTGGCACTCTTGACCCCTCGGGCAAGGTGACCTCGTTTCTCCCCTTTCTAGCGCTGACCTTCCTGGAGTAAAGACTGTGTGTAATCTTTGTGAACTCTTTGTTCTTTTGTTACACAACCGGTTACGTTAATCCAACTGCCTTTTTACTAATCTCTCTGAAAAGCAACATCCAGTCTAACAAGTTATGGGCCCAGTTACGGCAACAACTTATTAAACGTAAGGAGAACACAAAAGAAAAAAAAAGGTAAAGTCAAGAAACTTACATAAGAAGAATATTCGGCGAAAACACAAAAGATTTCACAATGGCAGATAAAAGTTACGTTGCCATCACTAAATTGAACAACAACAACTATCACATTTGGAAATATAAGATGGAATTGCTGTTGATAAAAGACGAGTTATGGGATGTAATACAAAAGGAAATACCCTCAGATCCTGACTCATCTTGGTTAACAAAGGACGGAAAGGCGCGCACCATGATAGGCCTCCTGATGAAAGACAATCAACTGCCATTAGTAAGAAAGGAAACTACAGCTAAAGGAACTTGGAAAGCCATAAGGAAGCACCATGTTAAGTCTACACCAGGGGTGGCCAAAACGTGGCGCATGCGCCAAACTTGGCGCATTGGACGATTACAAGTGGCGCTTCAGTCAGTACTGAGTAACATTGCCATATTTGGCTTCTTTGCAATTATGAATATTACATAGAAAATTAATTTTTTATAGTCTGTCTTGGCAAGTTCATTTGTTGCACAATTCGTTGCAATCAACTTTACAGATGAAATGAGTGTTCTCCACATAGTAAATTACAGTGTATGCATGTATGTTTATTTTCGACCAGTATATAGGCGTCTAAATGACAGTGCTAAAGTCCCACGATAGTGCTATCGTCCGGATAGTCCAGGAATCGGTTGGACTACTACCAACTTCCTGCGACACCTGTTGACCTTTTTTTTTTTTTTGCTTCTACGATACACGATACATTCCTGATCGTGTACACCACTAATATCGACCACTGCGCATCTGAACTCGTCTATCAAAAAATTGGCACATAGTATGCAAAAGGTTGGCCACCCCTGGTCTACACTATCAAATAAAGTTTATCTATTGAAGAAAATTTGCAATTTAAAACTAGAAGAAAACAGCGACATGGAGATACACTTGGCTAACATGGAGGAATTGGTTGATTGTCTTACGGCTATGGGAGAAACTCTAGCTAAGAAATTAAAGATAGCATTATTACTTAGCAGCTTGCCAGACATCTATAACACTTTAATAACAACACTAGAGACTTGTCCAGAAGAAGATTTAACTCAGGAGTTAGTACGTAATAAATTACTTGAGGAACACTTAAGAAGATAGACCTCACCAAAAAAGAATATGAAGCGAATAAAGCATTTAAAGTAGGAGCACACCCAGTAACTCAGAAAAGGAATTTGCTCAAAAGTTGTTATTTTTGCAAAAAATAGGGACATGTAAAGACAGAATGTAGGAAATACGCAACATGGAAAGAAAAATATCCAAATTAGATCAACAAAATTTATGCGGAAAGTGATGAACAACATCCGGAAAAGGAATCCTATGTGTGTTTTAAGACAGGAACACAGAACGAAATTCATCAATGGTACGTAGACTTGGGAGCTTCGTCACATATGTGTTGCGAGAAGCATTTATTCACAGCCATAAATAATAAATATAGAAAAAGAGTGATACTAGCCAATGGTCAAGCTCTATACACTAAAGGTAAAGGTAATGTAATGATAACCTGCATGGATAAAAATAATGAACAACGCCGAATATATATGAAAGACGTGTTATATGTGCCACACCTTAAAGGAAATTTAATCTCAGTCAGAAGACTAACGAGATTAGGGTTTGCCATGAAATTTGAAGGGAACAGTTGTTCTATCCAGAAAAATGGAGTAACAGTAGCAACAGTGAACACATGTTTGTTTGAGCTCAATAAATCTCATAAAGCACTTACAGTAGTTAATGATACGAAGGAATGCATCCATTTATGGCACCGTGACATGAACTCCATAATTTTGATGCAGAATAAGAAATTGGCTACAGGAATAAATATTCAGAAATGTCGCATATTCAAACCTTGTGAATATTGCATCAAGACCAAGATGACTACTAAGAGTTTTCCAAAGAAATTGGAAACCAAAACCTATCAATTACTTGAATTAATACACACTGATGTATGCGGACCAATGCAAACAGCAACACCGAGAGGTAACAAATACATTTTAACCATGATAGATGATTACAGTAGGTACACAGAAATATATCTTCTTAAACATAAAAGAGAAGTACCTGATAAAATAAAGGAATATGTTAACCTTCTTCTTCTCTCGGAATGCCGACACCTTCTAGGAGTTGGTATAGGCAAGCGCCAAATCCGACAGATGGCGCTGTTTTTGAGCCAAGATGGCTGCCGAAACAGGATAAGGGAACGACCACGTGCTTGTTCAGTGCCTGAGCCGATTTAGTTTCCGTCGGTGACGACTACTGCGAGGACCAAATTGAGAACAAATCATTGAATTTATGTCAAATTCTAGACTAACGGCGACAGGAAACGTTGTCTTGTAGAAGGTGAAGCCGTTTTGGATGCTGGACACATCGTATTTTGTGGATTAAACTCTAACAACAACACCAAAGTTCATGTTGCTTTAGTGTTGCAATCTCAAATACAGTATTGGCATTTTAATACATCTTAATTACAGGGAGAATGCACGTGCAATGCGGGGCTGTCTGGTTTTTGTAAACATGTGATAGCATGATTATTACACGTTAACAGGTGAGAAGTATTTAAATATTTTAAACTGTATACACCATGTTCAAATATAAAAACATAGTTTTATTTATCATAATAGTTAAAATTAGTGCCAATCTGAAGGTTACCTGGCTGAGTCATTCAACACTTATACAACATAGGTCAGTCAAAAGTTTGTAGCACACATTATGTTGTGTGTGTGTGCGTCTCATATATCCAAAACGGCTTCACCTTCTACAAGACAACGTTTCCTGTCGCCGATATAGTCTAGAATTTGACGTAAATTCATTGATTTGTTCTCCATTTGGTCCTCGCAGTAGTCGTCACTGATAGAAACTGAATCGGCTCAGACACTGAACAAACACGTGGTAGTTCCCTTGTCCTGTTTCGGCAGCCATCTTGGCTCAAAACAGCGCCCTCTGTCGGATTTGGCGCTTGCCTATAGTCAGGCAAATTCCAAGGTCATTGGGGGATATGTACGTTATATGATGAAAAAAATTCGTATAAAATCTAATGTTTGTATTAAAAATATGAAAACCAATAATTCTAATAGGGAAGTATGTGTACTTTTGTTTGGTATATTATTTATCTGCTTATATTTTGTATTATTATTATAAAAAATTCGTATTTTATTGTTTACGTTAATGATCTGTAAATTAATTGCAATTTTATTTAATGTAATTAAATTTTATGTTTAGTTAATGTACTAATTGATAGTATACTATTAATTTGATGTTATATTAATGTATTAGTTTATTACAGTTATCGTAAATTATATTAATTTTAATTTTAGTAAATTTTCTAACCGTTCTTTGTTTAGCCAACAATCGAATCGACAGTGCTGCCATTTTACGTACAGTACATTTTTACATGTACGTACATTCTACGTGTAGGTATGATCTTTTATAGACATTCGGTTTGTTATAATGTATAATTAGTTTATTTAATTAATTGGTAGATATTCATAATATATAAATTGCAAAAATTGAGCAATATTACTACTTTTTTTTAAAATTTTACTTGTATTAAACTTATTGGTAATTGTGCATATTAAGGGAATATGAATTTTTTTAATTATGTTATATTAAAAAGAATGTATATTTAATAGTCGTTCGGAAAACGCATAACGTTTTTCCGTCCGACCCGTATATAAAGAGCTATAAACAAAAAATCATAGGACTACTTACCGATTGTGCTCCGTTCGAGACGCCATTACTTAAGCTTGCCGTCGTCGTGGAGGTGCACACTGGACGGCGGATGCACGCGAAGCGTATCACGTGACCCAATTTCAACGTCACTCAGTCACGTGACTAGGTCTCTGACGCGTTTCCGGCAGCTTTTCTTCTCGCGGAATAATCCGTTCTCTTTGCACTAACACGTCATAGAGCAAACCACGTCTTATTATTAACACGTGATTAACTCTTGTCACTTCGACAGCTCGCGGACTACAGTTTGACAACTTTGCCTAGTTACGCTTTTCTAACATCGTAACGTTCTATATCCAAATCCCAGTTAATATTTGACATCGACAATTTATTTTTCGATGTTAACCCCATAAAAACAGAACAAATGAAATAATAAATAATCGAATTACTTTAAAATTCAGATTAAATGCTATAAAACTATAAATTTAATATCTAAATTTACAAACACGTATGTCTTATATAACTAATGTCTCTAATTTTAAAATCTAAAGTTATATGACAGTAATATATAAATTACTGTATGTGAGATGTGTGAAAACACTACATAGAGACTTAAAATATTTTATTTTATTTCCAAACAATGTCTAGTCATGTATTATTTAATAATGGACTTGGTTGAGAAAAACTGTGTTTAGATTAACTTAAATAAAGCAGATTTATTTTATTGTGTTGACATTAGTTATAATCGACATTCTTGAATTGATACGAAGATTTAAATTTTTTCAAATCTGAACTGTTGAAAAGGTTATCCACAAAAATTATCAAAAAGAAGTAATATGTTATTTATAAAGTAACATCATTTTTTCGATTTAGAATTATCAAGGTTCAATCATTAAACTGTTTCAAAATAATTGCAGACATTTCCTCTTGATGCAAAAGAGAAAAATCAGAAGGCGGAAAGGAGTAATAGTTATAATAGTAGTCTACTCTATATGGCTAAGGAAAGTTGCTTAACGTAACCCGATCTGTCAATATCCTTGTAGATAATAGGCAGACACAGAATCATAATGGCGCAAATTATTCAATAATATTTATACTGTTTGTTTCTTGTAATTAGGAGCGCATTCCCAAATAACTATTCCGAATGTAATCTTCGGGTCTATACAGACTTTATAATCAGTGGCGTAGCGTAGTGGGGGCGGCACTTTTAGGGGGCGGCAAAATTTTACAATAAATAACAATAATATTTTGTAAAAATTTTTGTAATAAATGTGATTATTGAATTGCAAAACATATATACATGACTTTTTTATTTGTAACATGTACTGTACAATACACAATAATGATGATTGTTCTTGCCGAAAAGTTCTTTAGAATTACTGTATATTTTAATCCTTTAAATTGAGATACCTAAATAAGGGGACGGCGAAATTTTCCTCTGCCCCGGGCGGCTGACTCCCACGCTACGCCACTGCTTATAATTTATTGTTTTGCTATATTTTTAAGATTTGATTTGATTATTTGTTTTTCTTAATATCGATAGTTAACTTTAGAAAATATAAATGACTTTTTTAAACGAAAGATGGCGCTGTAGAAAATTCAAACTGGGCAAATCTTCTAGTAATGCTAAATCAAAATTTTAACTTTGATAACAATAAGAATCTATGGCAATATAAATTCAATAAATTATTACAAACTTTTGGTGTATCAAACAGATTATTTGATAGTTCAGAAACGAATTGGCAAAATGGATACTCTCTAATGATCGAATCAGCGTTTTCTCAATCAATAATAATGGATCAAAACTTCTTATATTAGTCTAAATATCATCCATGGTACATCAATATTCTAAACATCCCGTCTACTTCGAACATCATAACTGCTAATATCAATATGAATATAAAAAGATTATTAATGCAATTAAGACTTAATAAATATTCATTGTTTATTAATAATACTTATTTTGATTTTACTAAGGACAGATGTTATTTGTGTAAATCAAGTGACTATTCTTTGAACCATATAATAAGAGACTGTGAAGGACTAAAGAAATATTATCAAAAATATGAAATTAATGAAATACTATATAAGAACTATAATCAAGACTTTAGAACTAAATTAAACAATCTTACGTTAAATCAAATGTATAAAATTAATGGTTTTTTTAATCTAATCGCCAAAGAACTAAAAAATATGTAATAAATTGATAAAATTTGTTGTGTTTACTAAATATGTTACTTAAAGTAAAATATTTAAAAAGGAAAATATTGATAAATTTAATACTAAGTGATTATTGTAATATCATTGATAATCTTGAATGTTATGTATATCAAATGATGGAAAAAATAACAAATGTATAATAATAATATCATTGAAAAATACCCCCTGTAACAAGGCTTAGCCTTAATGCAAATAAATAAATCAATTTAAAAAAATTTAATATGATTAGAGTTTATCACTTAAATAAATATTATTTCAAAGAAATTATGGTTTAGTATAAAACACTATAAATCACTTAGATTTTACAAATACGTGAGCCGTTCACAGCCTGGCACACGTATTTGTAAAATCTAAGCGACTCATACAACATGAAATTCATATAAAACGGAATTATCAACAGTGTTATAGGGGGGTAGACTGTATATTTTAATAATAATCGTGTTTAAATGTGGAAAAGACTATAAAGATGATTGGCAAATCCTAAATTCTCATTTAAAATTATTACTACATCTAACTACATGTAACAACTTCATCCTTAAGCCAATATCATATTTTTAAAGACTCGTTACCTTAACGTCATTCAGGATTTATACAAAGTGTTACTCTGAATATTTCTTCCTTTTATTCCAGCACTTTGTGTGCTATATATATAATTTTTAAAAATATTTTCAAATCTTTTAGCTATTATTAAACTATATATTTTATAATCTATATTCAAAAGTGTGATTGGTCTAAAATCACCTATTTCTTTATCTGTGTTGTCATTTTTGTTAATCATTACCATTTTTCCATGACCAAAATAGTTACTAAAGTCTGTATGATTATATAGGGAATAAAGAATATATGTAATATCAATTTCAAAAAATTTGTAAAATTCAACACTTAATAAATCTCTAGCAGGTGCTTTTTTAGGGTGAAGTTCTTTAATTTGCAAGTCTATTGTGACAGTTAAAGATTTTGCAATGAATATTACACACACACTGACAGACAAGGCAATCTGTGCATCGTACACTTAAGTTTTGGCATACTAGCTGCCTGTGTGCTTCAAAATGGACAGGTCAGCTGGGACAGTTTGCTGAGAGGATCCAGCTAACAAATGTTAGAACCCTGTTAAATTTCTGAAGAGTAAAAAAAAACTTAAGTGAGAAAACTTATACAGGAATTGTAAAAAAAATTTTATTTGTAATTCTGTTTTATTTCAATATCAAGGTAATATTGTAGCTTAGTAGAATTGTAAGATGCACTGACTATGTTAGGTGTGTATCTTCTGTCAATATGATATGTCAACAGTTAATGGTCAAAACAATAAGACCCCAGAAAAATTAAGTTACTACCTCCAGGTGTGCAGATGTTTGATATACAATATGATGAGTATCTAGAGTTTATTAAAACTGTACTGTTTTTATAATTTAATTTTTTTTTTTAAACTGTTTATGGAAGTTTTACATTTTGTCAGGAACATATCTAGCTAATCATTGTAGGAAAGATATCAGCAATAAGTACTTGCATACAAGAAAGTTTTGCTCAGAGTTCTTGGAAGTAAGCAAATCATGCCAGCTAAGAATTGCAGATTTTGCAACTAACAATTACCAAAGGAAGATGGTTTTACTAAGAAGTTTGTTTTTAGTGATGAAGCAACATTCTACATGTGTGACATGGCAAATAATNAATAACGAACGACGTCAAATATATATGAAAGACGTGTTATATGTGCCACACCTTAAAGGAAATTTAATCTCAGTCAGAAGACTAACGAGATTAGGTTTGCCATAAAATTTGAAGGAAACATTTGCTCTATCCAGAAAAATGGAGTAACAGTAGCAACAGCAACAGCACACACGTTTGTTTGAGCTAGATAAATCTCATAAAGTGCTTACAGTAGTTAATAATACAAAGGAATGCATCCATTTATGGCATAGAAGATTAGGGCACCATGACAT